AAGGGATTTGGTTTAGATTATACCTGTCTAGCCCAGTGGTTTTTCCTACTCTCTTCAGTTTAAGCTTGAATTTTGCTATGAGAAGCTGATGATCAGAGCCACAATCAGCTCCAAGTCTTGTTTTAGCTGAGTATATAGAGCTTCTCCATCTTTGGTTGCAGAGAATATAATCAATCTGATTTCTGTATTGCCCATCTGGTGATTTCCATGTGTAGAGTTGCCTCTTGTGTTGTTGGAAAAGATTGTTTGCGATGACCAGCTTGTTCTCTTACAAAACAAGAGAACAAGCTTTCCCTGCTTCGTTTTGAACTCCAATGTCAAATTTACCTGTTGTTCCTTTTATCTCTTGACTCCCTACTTTAGACCCCCTACATTCCAATCCCCTATAATGACAAGAACATCTTTCTTTGGTGTCAGTTCTAGAAGGTATTGTAAGTCTTCATAGAATTGGTCAATTTCAGTCTCCTCAGCATTGGTGGTTAGTGCATAAACCTGGATTATTGTGATATTGAAAGGTCTGTCTTGGATTTGTGTGGGGAAATTGTATGCTTTTACAATGTATATAGCAGACATTGTTTTTGGGCACAGGTCAGTTTTCCAGTAGGGATGATCATTAACCTGCTTTAGTATCTAAGATAATTTCCTGTCTCTGGGTAAATTGTATTAACTTCATGTGTATTTAAAATGTTATCTGTCTATGTTTACCCTGCTCTGTATTCAGGAATGTTTACACTGATTGTGTATTTAGGATTTATCTGTCTCTGTTTACCTCTGTTTACCATGCCTGTGTATTCAGGATATTAACCGCCTCTGTTTAGAATAGTTTTTGATTAACTTGTTCAAAGGTAGGGGAGACAATAAAAGAGGGCGAGGCGGAGGAGGGGAGAGAATTCTCATTGAACAATGTTGCACAGCACGCTGTTTAATTCATCCGGATCCCACCCTGAAACACACACCCGAGCGCTCGTCTCCTTTCTCCTTGCTGGTCAAGAGGGGAGGGAGGCTTCATCTGCAGATCCCGAGACAGGCTTCATCTGCAAGACCCCTACTTCCCCTCATCTTGCAGATCCCAACAAAATAAAAGACTTCTGTACCTCTTGCTGTGTGCTGGTCCAAATGCAGTCACTTCCTGTCCACACAGCGAGCTCATCTTGGCTTGACAGATTTTTTATGGTGCCTCCTATATTCCTGCTTTAAACCAGTGAAGAGGCACAAAATCAGGCACTATGACAAGCTGTTTGAACACCTTCCGACCTGAGGGTCCCATCTTCCAGCGTCATATCTTTTAGCCTTTTATTTCTGTTCATGGAGTATTCTTGGCAAAGATACTGGAGTGGCTTGCCAATTCTTACTCCAGGTGGATTGCATTTAGTCGGAACTCTACCCTATGACCTGTCCGTCTTGGGTGGCCCTGCACGGCATAGCCCATAGCTTCCCTGAGTTACTCAAGCCCCTTCGCCACAACAAGGCAGCAATCCATGAAGAGGTCAGATGCTGGTAATAAGAGACAAATGTGTCTCTGATTGGAATAAACATTTTTCCTCAAGTCCATTGAGCAATCGCACACAGGTCAATTAACCTGTTTTTTGGTCACAGTGATTGAAATTTAGTATGTTGCAACTGGAATAGGCATATTGAGTCAGTTGAACTTTGAAGGACCTGATTCATCAAATCCCCACTGATTCAATGAACTGATTGTAGTTGGGACTTACAACTGGATTTCAGCTTCTCAGAGATTTTCTTTTCAGTATTACTCATGCCATAGAGCTCTTATTGTCAGTAGCAATAATCTAGCTTTAGTCATGTGCAGTGACTTGTGGTCTTTGGGTTGGGGATACACATGCCTTTTTGGGCCAAAAGACTTACCCAGTTAGTTCACGGGAATCCATACGAGCATTGGATTGTAAACTTGGGTGTGCATAAAAATCTGAGTAGAAAGCTAGAATCCACCTCTCATGTTTGTCCAGGGCTGTGTATTCTTTGTGAAATACATTTTCTCCATTGGGATGATCCAGAGTCAATATGCTGCATAAACTGAGTAATTTTGCACAGTTGCTATGTTTGTCCAGGGCTGTGTATTCTGTGTATTCTTTGTGAAATACATTTTCTTCATTGGGATGATCCAGAGTCAATATGCTGTATAAACTGAGTAATTTTGCACAGTTGCTATTAATAAAAAAGATTTTACTTGTATCTGCTTGTCATGGGAAAGGTCAGGGAGCTATATAGAGTATTTATATTTCCTGACAATGGAAAAACCTGCAGTATATTCCCACTTCTGGTTTTGGAGAAATCACTAGGCATTTCTCAGATGCTTTCCTCAAAATAAGATTTTCAAAATGCTAAATTCTACATTCTTTGCTGAATTCTTTTGTTTTTGTAGTACAGTTTATTCAGTCCAGGTTCTCCTATGGTCTTTTAACATTTTATGTCATTATTTATTGCTTTTTTCAGGGGTGGGATATTTTTCAAAATCCAGCTCAGCCTGTATCACCTGCTTTGCTATTTGCAGACTCCTCTTCATTTGTCGGTGTACCTGGAGCAACCCAGAGTGGTGCAAGCACTAGTCCTAAAAGGGGTGAATACAGCTGTGCAGGACCGCAATGGAAACACCCCACTACACTTGGCTTGTGAACAGCAGAATCTGGAGTGTGTCCAGCTGTTGCTGATGCAGGAACCAACCACCAATAAGAACCCAAAGGGCAAAAAAACCCTACAAAATCTGCAAATCCAGAATTGGCAAGGTGAGGGCAGGAAAAAGATTGACCAGAGATTGATACAGTGGTGCCTCGCTTAACGGACACTCCATTTAGCGATGAAATCGCTTAGCGATGACTTTTTTGAGCGTTTTTACGCTTCGTTTAGCGATGGTCCCTATGGGCGATTTTCGCTTAGCGATGGTTGGGACCATGCTTCGCATAGCAATTAAATTTTGGGTCCCCTGTTTCGCTTAACAATGCTTTAAACCCCCTCATGTTTGCTGTTTTTTAAATGTTTTTCTGTTATTTATAAAGTTAAAGTTTACTGTTTAAAATGTTTGAAATCATAAAGTGCACTTAATAAACCCTTTGTTAACCAAATTTGATTTTGTTCTGCCTCTTTTTTAATTTGTTGTTGCATTTTTCCGTCCATTGAGATGCATTGAATAGGTTTCAATGCATTTCAATTGGGGAACAGCGTTTCGCTTAGCGATGTTTCCTATGGCGATTTTCGCTTAAGGACGGCAATTTGTTCCTATTGGAACGGATTATCCAGTTTTCAATGCATTTCAATGGGAAACCGTGTTTCGCTTAGCGATGAAATAGCTTAGCAGTGATTTTTTCGGAATGAATTAACATCGCTAAGCGAGGCACCACTGTATATGTGTTTGTGTAACTGTGTTTTGTTCCAAGGGTACTTGCTCTGTAGCAATTTTCTGGATTGTCTTCTTCTGCAGGCTTGACTTGCCTACATATCAGCACCTTGAAAGGGAACCTACAACTGATGGCTTTGCTGGTGAAGAAAGGAGCTGACATTAATGTTCAGGTACATCAAAGACAACTGGCAGGACTTCAGCTCCTGTATTGATTTGGGTCTTATGTGTTCTGTACTTTAGCCACAGGCTACACAAGAGAAAAATGTGGTTTTGAATGCCAGATTCAGCATGCTAAGTATTCACTTTTTAAAAGTTTGTCTGCTGTGATTGTAAAGATCAGTACTGAAAATATGTAGACACTGCCTAGTGAATTGTCAAAGGATTGAGAGACGGGGGCTGAGTGGGACTTAGTGAGCTGGAGTTTTGCATAGCTTCTTGTCCTTATGCATGTCTAGCAAGAAGCGGAAGGCAAATATGCAGACTGGAGAAGCATCTCAGCTGTTTAATGTGCAGGACTTGCTCTGCATTGTAGTATAAAGTATTTCTTTGGATGCAGTTTTGATTTATTCAGAGCCTTGAATAGGTCATGCTAGATGGCTGTGCTGAAATTATTGAACTGTCCCAATTCACTGATAGGTGTAGGTGATCACGGAACAAAGGCAAGGCAATTAGCCTTTTGAGAAAGTGTGAAGAAGTCCACTGCCAGCAGAGCCTCAGGCAGTGCCTTGAGAACTTTCTATTAATTTAGCAAGAGTTACATTGTATGTTACAAGAATTCCGATTACCTAATCGGTACTAGGATTGGCCGAAGAAACCCTTTTATCTAATGCCCTAACTCTAAGCAGAAAGGCAGAATGAGAGGTCACCCCGCCCGCTGGGAGCTGCTGCCCTCTGCCAGGAGTGTGTGCACCTCATTGAAACAGCTAACAGCCTTGGGCAGGATTTCCCCACAAATAGGAGCTCTAGGAAAAGAACAGGTAATGGGGATAGATTTTAAACCAGGAATTTTCATGGCGGGAGGGGAGCACAGAGGCTGTTCTAGATATGAGAAAGTTTGTGTGTATTGAATGTCTACCTTGGCTTTCTCTTCAGTAGGACCCAAGGTGGCTTATAATATTGCTGGTCGTCTGCTGGTTTTTAAAGGCCCAGAGATAGGTTTTTCTTGAGATTAATGCTTGGATCCTAAACTTTTAGACTTTTATTAATACTGAACCTGGGGAGAGGGCTAGAAGTATTGTGTCTTCACACTATGAGTCCTAGCTTTCAAATTAGTTGGTGTGAATCGGGGAAATGGCAACATCCCATCTCTTTAGAATTCCATTTCAAATGTTTAGTAAAATGGGCTGATCTAATGCCTTTTACTTTCAATTCTAGGATGGCACAAGTGGAAAGACACCTCTGCACTTGGCGGTGGAAAACCATGACGAGATGGCTGTGAAGCAACTCTTGAGAATGGGGGCGCAGGTGGATGCCCAGATGTACAATGGTTGCACCCCATTGCACCTGGCTGTAGGCAGGAAGGATGCTGCCATTACTGCCATCCTTTGCCATTCAGGGGCTGATACCTTGCTGCGGAATATGGAGGATGAGACAGCACAGGACCTAGCTGATGGCAATGATGATGTGAGAATCTTCTTGGGTCAGGCTGTTCTTGTTCATTGATTCAGTGATGAGGACCTTGTGTTTTGATATAGAGTGATGGTGGGGATGTGGAATAACTAGCAACCCTTTGTCTAACAAAATTAGGAGATGTTCTAATTCACACTACCACTGTTGAAATGTGAAGCTCACACTTCTTTACTGAAATCTTCAACCCCCATTTTGAAACTTGTTTTTAACAAATGAGGCTGCCATGCACATCTGGCCATGATTTTTGGAACTTCAGGGTTTCTTCTGCACCACTTCCAGCTCTGTGGTGCCCAGCCTAATGGAGACCTATAGGGAGTTGGAAGCTGGCATGATTTTTGGTGGTCTAATAAAGGCATCACACACCCTTGCTTTCATATGGTGTACAAGGACCACATAGCTTTTCTTTTTCTTTTTGCTGAACACAATGGGATGCAAGTTGAGAACCACTGCTCTAGGTAATGGAGTTGTAGGAGAAAGCTGAACAGTTCCGTCAGGGCTGTAGATGCAAAGTGGGGTTGCAGATGGTGTGGAGTGGTTCTCAAGATGTTTTCTCTTGGCAGAAGGACTTGTTCAATAGGGCTTGGGGACCTGTTTCTCCCACTCCTCTTGTTTCTCCCAGTTTGCCAAGTTCCAATTCACGTGCATTTGATATTTAAGGCAATGCACCAGGGAAGAGCTGCTAAACTATCCAGTCTGCCTCTGTGTCACTAGCCTGTTGCATGGGTGCAGTTTTTGTAACCGCAGGCAATTGAAGAAGGTGGGGCTGACCAGCAGTCCACTGTTCCGTTGCAGCAAAGCCATTTGGCTATTGACCTCTTTTCCTTGCATGGGAAGGTAGGGTTCTGAGAAGTACCGAAGCTACATGCAGGTCAGGGTGAGGCAACATCTCTTTACCCAGATGGCTGGTCTGTGTTTGCCTTCATTGCCAACATGTGACTGATTGTCTGAAACAGGACAACACTTAGGCAATTGCTGAATCTCCTTACCTTGTACTTCCAAATTACCAGATGCAGAGACACAAAAGATTTCTTGCCTCCTGTTATGTGAAACGTGCTGTAGTGTAGAGAGTATTGCCATTCTGCTCTGCCTCCATGTTGCTGTGGACAGGATGTTGGTGATGTTCTTAAGAGGACTTGATCATGGATCTGGGTGACTTTGGGACATGTGCTATCTTTTAGCCTCACTTGCTCCAGGATGCTTGTCTACCTGCAGCTCTTTTGAGGAAGAATGAGATATCAGTATAATGTAACTGGGATTCTCCAGAAATAGGAAGATTACTGCTCATTTTGGTGGTGAAATAGCTTTCTTACTGTGGAAGTAGTTGCTAGATTATCCAGTGGAATGAGCAGTGTAGGAACATGGAGAGTTCCTAGCTATTTGCACCCTGCGAGAGTTCCAGGTTTAAGGTGTGCTAAATCCAGCCTTGGAATGAAAGTTTAGGATGTAATTTATAGTTATGCACACACCAAAGCATTTCCCCCCATGCGTATTTGTCTCCTTAGGAAGGGATTACTCATGGTAACTGATCTGCAGATATTAGGCCATCCTAAAACATATTGTACCTTGTATGTTACTAGGAATTACATTCTTACTAAGAGGCCTGTAATGTGTAGCAGAGTTTAACAGCTAGAGGCACTGCCCACTCTGGCTTGGTTTGGCAGCAGTCCTGGGTCAGTGGTGGTTTGTCTTGCGCTGCTCCTTTTGTTAGGCATTGAAGCAGTGAACATAGGCTCCTGGGGAGGTTTTCTGTTCAAATGCTAACCTGTTAACTTGCTGTCCTTTTCCTTTGACAGATCTTGACGCTCTTGCCGTTTGATGACCTGAAGATCTCAGGGAAGCCTGTGGTGTGCTCCAGTTGAGCACCTTAAGACTTGTGTGTGAATAGTTATTTTGGGAGATGGTCAGTGATCAAGCTGCTTCACGTTGACAGGAGTAGAGCTGGTCACCAGTAAATCATTCCCCTTGCTGCAGAATGTGAGCCTTTGTGCCGCTTCAGACATTTTTTGGGACTGCAGGAGGCTACGGGAAGACTTGTGTGTGAATAGTTATTTTGGGAGATGGTCAGTGATCAAGCTGCTTCACGTTGACAGGAGTAGAGCTGGTCACCAGTAAATCATTCCCCTTGCTGCAGAATGTGAGCCTTTGTGCCGCTTCAGACATTTTTTGGGACTGCAGGAGGCTACGGGGGAAAAAAGTAGCCTAAGAAGAAAATGGCCCCACCGGTCTGTTGAATTTGCTCCTTGGATGTTGATGGGCACTTGACTCCTGTTCAGAGGGACGGGGCCTGTACTTGCTCTGTCTGCTGTGTCTTAATAAGCAGAAACCACAAGGCTCAAGAGGATGACTTTTTTCTCCAGACTTACACCGTAAATAAACACGGTCTGAATCCCCCTTCTTCCTCTTCTTTCATGTCCCTGACAGAACTGTCGCAAGTGTTTTTCTGTTCCATTTCTGCCCAGGATGGCTTCTGTTTGAAATAGGTTTTCTCTCCAGTCAAGTTGTTGCCTGCTGTCATGTAGGCCTTGTGCATTTCCTTCAGGGACTACTCCAGGCTGCACTGTTACCTGGGAGTCCAGATGTAGAATCCACCCTGCCTCTCACCTATTGCCTCCTGTGGAGGAAAACTCTTTCAGACAGAATTGGCTTGACCAGAACTTGCCTTTAGTTTCGCCCAGCTGCCTTGGCAGCAGACAGAAGATTATCTGGACAAATAAAGTATGAGGGGACAAAGAAATTCTCAGCTTCTTTTGTTTCTAGGGCTAGGCCCTGTTCTGCTTCAGCTCTGTGTGGGACAGTATGGCTGCATAGCATGGCTGCATAGCAAAGCACTAACTTATTGAAGCACCATCCAACTTCTTGCAGCACTTTCCTCAAGCAAACATAGGCTGGCAATTTACAAAGGTCTATGCTCCAGGTTAGCTTCTGGAACTAGAATGGACAACGAGATTTCAGTGTCTGTGCCTGTCCACCTGGGGTTGCAGGAGCCACCTTGTGCATTGCCTGTGAGTTATCTTCTTGAATGTTAGCCTTATGAGAGATATGTGACAAGACTCCGGGACAACTTTTCCAGCTTTTGCTCGTGATAGTGGGAGAAGCAGTTCATTGGTACTGTTTTTTACATCCTGATTTTTAGCATTTAACACTGCCCACTGAGACAGTGTGTAATCAGGTATTCTTGCTTTGTCTGCGTTTCAAAAGTGAGATT